GGGGGGGCGGCGCGCGCCGTTGCCAGGAGACCGCAGCGCCCCCCGGGGCCTCCGTGAGGGACCCGAGGCCTCCGGGAGGGCCCCGGCCCCGCCGGGCTCCGGGCTCCGCCGTGCGAAGCACCGGCCTCCCGAGCCCCGGTTCCCGCACCGGCATCGCTCTCAAAACGGCGCGAAACGAAAGCCGGGCCCCCGTCCGCACTGCTCGGAACGCCCGTTGGTGGCTGCGCCGTCACCTCAGGCTCCTGCTGGGCTGGAATGTTATTAAAGATGGATTTTTTTTTGGTGATTTGTTCCAAGGCAGGAATAGTGAAGAGACTGAGCGTGAGGAAGTGCTTCCCAAAGCCGTCGGACGCGAAGCTCCGTTCCTTTCGTCTTCAGAATGAAAATAAAAACCGAGGGAGAATGAGAAATTCCTCCTGAGCTGTAATGAAAAGATGTTACTCCTGGAGATGCTCTCAGCCTGTAGTACCAGACAGCCTGGGCTATTGTCAAGGAAAAAGACTTCATCTTCCTGAAGAAAAGACTTTGCACAAACAGGAAAAAAAAAAGGTCCAATAGACTGAAATGACTTCAAAGTCTGAAATTCCACACGTGGAACAACGTACATTAGCACGGGATGAACTGTGCAGACAAAAACCCTTTGCAAGAGACTCCTCCAAGCCCTTGGTCACCAGATCCATGGTAATACTGACACAGGCACCTTGCAGCCTGTGCAACCTGCTCCTCACAAGACAACTGAGAAACACTGAAATATGTATTTTCCAGGCAGTCCTAGCAACACCAAACGTGTCTCAGAATAAGTCTGGAGGGCAAGGACTGAATAATCTTCCCCAACAGTCCTGCCTCTTGTCTTAGTTTCTATTGCTGGTGCACTCAGATGATTATGAGACGTTTGTGAGAACCATGGTGCACTCTCCTGGGGACACCACTCCCAGGAGCCAGACACACCGATGGAAAGGGGTGGGAACAAATTACTTTACCCACAAACCAACAAGCAGTTAGTGAAAAGCAAAGAAAGATTTAAAAAAGCAAGATGCTGCTGCATATAAAAAGGCACTGGCCAAAATTGCTTGGGGTCTGCCTGCCTGGAGTAATACCCTCCTGGTAAAAAAAACCACAACAAACAACACATACAATCCCATGTTTTTGGGATTGACTGTGATCTCAGCACTCCTGATTGCATGCTTTCTAGGTTTATCTTAATATTATTATCTTAATATTACAAATTAAAAACAAATGACAAGCTGAAAAAATCTTGCAGAAGGACATTTGGGAAGCTGAAAGCACATGCTGTAGGGACAGATAACAGCAGCGAGCAAGCAGATAAAAGGGAACATGATCATAACAGGCAGGACTGCCTCCTGCCCCCGTGAGGAGATTCTGCAGGTGCTCCTTGGACTATTTTATGGGCAGCTGGGAGTGGCCAGAGAAACAGGCACTGTCAGTGCCAGAACAGGTTGGTACTTACCATCAGATTGTATTTCATCTTTGGCTGCAAACTCTCATCCCATGCAAATGAAAAGATTTTAAGTTGTTTTGCAATGTCTACTAAGAAGAAAAAATACCCAACCCTGTGTTTATCACTGTCTGTTTGCTAATTCAATGCTAAGTACCTCTGGGCTCAGGCTGACACAGTGACATCTTTTTTTCAGTTTATTAAAAAATATACATGGAGGTGTTCAAATAATTGCACTTTGTTTCAGCATATTTATCCTCATGGGATCCTCAAGATTTCACAGTCTGCTAGTCTGGAACTAGCTGGCTGTGAAATAAACTGCCTCATAGAGACATTCTTTATTAGGTATCTATCACTAACCTGATCTAATAATTCTTACTGGGAGCTGCAATGAAGTGAGAAACAATGTTTCATAAACCCATCAGCACCCAGGCAGCTTTAGTGCTTTTGAAGCTGTAATGGCCTGCCCATCCAAGCCAGCCCTCTAATCAAATTAGGGGAACCTGCACAGGCCTTTAAATCTCAGCTGGAGCAGCACTACCCTCTGAAGATAGTCTGCAGTGTTAGCTGTCATCTGGAACTTACTGCTTTAATGGAGCCATTCGGGGTTTGCTCTGTGCTGCCAAAGGTATCCTAGGAAGAAGCCCTTTTTATTTTTCTCTACCTCCAGTCAGAAATCACACCATTTCCATTTTCTGTACCTTGCACCAATGGAGACTCTGCCCTAGCACCTTCTTCCAGACTCCTACTCTCTTCAGCATTTTTTGAGGATGGCACATATTGAACCTGCTAAAAATGCTTAAACTGTCACAGCTTTTGGCACATAATCCCCTTGGGAAATGTTCCTGTGGCTAAGAATGACAGCACATTCTTCCCTGAGGAGCACGTCTTGCAGTTACCTGCTGGTGCCCTAAGAAAGCACCTTTCCATTCCTTCACACATCCTATTGTTTGTTCCCCCTCTATTTATATCAGTATCTTTCATGCCATGGAGTTACATAAAAAGCAGTGTTGGGAAGGCCACAAATGAAATGGTGACAGTAGAAAGTGCTGAGGGTCCTAAATGAGAACACAGGCTAGGGCTACAATACCTATAAACTTACCTGGGGCTGAAAGTTTGCTCTCCCCACCCAAAGACTAGAGCACAGAAAGGGCAGCGAGCTGTTAAAAACTCTCCCCTGAATAGCAAGGTGCAGGATAGATCTGCCAGCAGTTGATCTCAAGGCAGACATGCAGAGAATGAGCAACAGTTACACGGTGCTGAGCTCCCTCAAACCATAAGAAAAGGTAGTGCAGACATGATGCAGGTAGAGGCTTGGGAGATGTAAACGTTGTATTCTCATGGCCATGTATCTCAGCAGTTAACACACAAGCTGCCTTTGAGAAAAGCTTGTGTGTTGCTTTGAACATGTGGCTGGTGACAGACTCAAGGAGGGAAATGTCCCAGGCATGGTTGCTGCTGCCCGGGTGTCAGCTCTCAGAGGGCCTCACCTGCAAGGCTCTGTCCCTGAGGGGACAGCAAGGCCCATGCTCCAAGGAGCACTGCCAAGGGTCACTGTCAGGCACAACAGGAAGGAGGATGGTGTTAGTGTTTGGTCAGAGGGACAAGAGTGCCCTAGAGTCTCACCCCAGCACCTCTTCTGAAGTACTCACCCACAGAGTAGCAGCCAACCACACTTAAAGAGCTTCTCCCTGTGGAAAGCAGCCATAGCTTGACCATGAGGTGTCACTGCAGCAGGTGATGCTCCCGCACTGTCATCTGCAACTGTATCAAGCTATGAAATTGTTACTTAGTGAGTCGCCAGTTAATACAATCTTCTAATCATTGATTTGGGTACTGAGAAAAGAAAACACACACTAAACACCTTTCCTCCTCCTTTGGCTGAATTTAATCCAAACATCTGGTCTCCACAGCTCCTAGCTTCACCTCCTCTTTGCTGTGCATACACAATCTCTCCCAGTTCATTCCATAAGAGGAAGGGTGGTGCAGGTCAAGTGTGTAACTGTCATCAGTTCTGCATGCTGGGTTTTCTGCTGCTCTGTGCTTCCCAGTGTGTCCTACCAACAAGGATTGTCCATGTCTGTCTGTTGGGGCTGGCTTACCTTGGCACAAATGCATCCCCCATGACCATGATCCCTCCACAGCTTACATTTCTCAGGTGTCTCCTCCCTCTGTGGCTGCCACTCTTCATTGAACTTGTCTGAGCTGAAGTGCTGCAGGATCCTTGGGTGGGCTGGAGTTTTGGGACATAGTGGGTTGTTCCCATTGATTTCAGAGCTGGCTGGAAGCAGCTGTGAGGGGCAGACTGGGGTTCACAGCTCCTGCTCCACAGGCATCTCTGCAGCCTCAGCTGCCTGAACCTGCCATGTGGACCCAACACAGCACTCAGGTGAGCACTACTCAGCTGCTTCAGCATGAACACAGTGAACCTTGCAATTTCTACCTGATACCTTCAAGGGGCAGCCAGGAAGAATGTTTCCCAAAGGGCCAGAGGAGAGCAGCACGTGGCAGGGCAGGAAGCCTGTGCTGAGGAAACACCAGAGCAGGGTAACTAAGCTTTTTCTCTTAAGAAGTAGAGAGAAGGGAAATCAGTCACTGAAGCAAAACAGACAGGGACAGTAATTTCTGCATACACAGTTTCAGAAAACACATTAAAAATTTATTTTAAATATATTATAAAAGGAAGTCCATTCATCTTTAAAAACACTGGGCATTCTATCAATGATTCCCAATTTATGAGAGCTACTACATTAAAGTGCTACAAGTCCTTTACCACCCCCAGATATTAGGCTGTTGGTCCTAATATGCACAGAAATGAATATATACTGATTCAAGAGGCACCATCCAGTTTTACAGGTAAAATGCATGCAGTACAAGGAATATACAAACTTAGACCTTATCACCAAGATCCCGGAGAATGCATTTTGGAACCAATTCCCTTCTCTGTCTTGGAGGCTAAAGCAATTTGTTATTGTTATCATAAGGGCTACCGTTTTAGTCTATTAGCTTGATCAGTTTTTATCTTGTTTTGTTGTTGAAGTTCATATTTACTCATTCACTAATCAGAAGCAGGACTTTTCTTCCTAGAGTTGAACTAGAAGATTTAAGACCACATAGATTCAGTGGCTTATATAAAGCTCTCAAATCCCTCACATCTGCTGGAATTGCTAAAGCCTTTTGGGTCATACAGAAGCATCAAGAAAGCACAAATGCAGCAAATAAAGGAGTATACTCAGCTAGCAGAGGCAAGAACAGACACAGGATTTTTATTAGGATTTCCACAACCTATCATTGCCTAGTTTCATACACAGATCTCCACGTGTACTAAAAAGGAGCAATCAGAGCAGGAGGTGAGTTTGTCAGTCACACTTTGCATTTATAATGCAAATAAATCAATCTGAGCGGTAAATGAGGAATATGACAACTTAGTGCTGAATGCTGAAGGGAATTTCAGATCTCAGCTTTCCCTTTCTCCACCCATTCCATCTCTCCCCTCCACTCAAACTAGGTGAGGACTTGCAGCTTTTTTAAAATATGGACTCAACACTCATTAGGTCAGCAAATAAAGCACTTAAAAGCTAAATCTTACACAGATTGGGAAATTGCAGCACAAAGACTTTCCTTGCTCAAGGTGAATAGGCCAATGGTAGACTAGCAGCAGGACCTGACTCCCAGTCCAGCTCCCCTGTTGCTATGTA